GCTTTTCCAGGTTTTGGGACACTTGCTGACTGGACCTGGTGAATACAAGTAAAACAGAACAAAAATTTTTTAAACATGTAGGTGATTACAGATCCAGCCCCTGTTTAAATGAATGTTTTGTTTCTGATCTGCTTTATTGGAAATTCCTCGGAGCATAACCTCTTTCATATCTGGGAAATACTGGGCCAGAAACTTTGGGCTACTTTACATGGAGTATGTGAACTACTCTGCCTTAAGCACACTTGTGCAATGTGCAACCTCTGTTATAAAGATTCTCAGGACTTATCTGCTTTTTTTTTTTTCCAGCAAAGATGAGATTAAGACAGAAGATGTCTCAGAGGAGGGTCAAGCAGAAGACACAATTGAAGATGTTGATGTGGTTGGTGCAGACCAGGTAATTCCAGCTTGGGTTTTCCAGCTCTGAGGACAGCTGTAGTTGAGGTGGGTGAATGTGAGTTTGGAATCTCATGCGTACCCATCTAACAGCAAAGGGGCTGCTCTTCTGTGGCCCCTTTCTGGATGAGAAAAGGGGTTCTCCCCTCTTCACTTTCCGCCTGCAGCTGTAGTCTCCTTCAGCTTCATTTGCATTTTTAAGGCAATTCTTATTGTAGCATCTAGACACCCTTAGGTACAGTGAACACCAGCTAGGATGCATTAAGAGCAGGATCTAGTTTCCTTTTTCCCCATACTGTGAAGCTCCTTGATTAAGAGCCATTTGCTGCAGTTGCTTCATGTTACTGACACATTGCAGAGATGGCACTTGCTGCATGGCCTGCAGGGAATGTTTGCTTCAAAGATGGTGTTTGCATTGTGCTCTTTAGACTGAAAGATTCGGAATGTGTCTGATCACTGGTCAGCCCAGGGCTCTCGCTGGAGAGTCCCTTGTTTCTTGCCCTTTTCCAGCCAAGGCTGTTGGGGAGATTAAATTGTCCCCAAACCAGCTGGGGATTTGAAGGGAAGCATGTGAACGTTGTGGGCTTGGAGTGGCAGCCAGCGTAGCCTGAGGGTTGTCTTGTGGGCACCAATTGCCTTTGGGATCAGATAATAGCTTGGCAAAACTGCAGCTGTCTGCCTGGGTCTCAGCCCGGCCCTGGCATGGATACTCGCAGCAGGGAAGGACTTTTTAGCCCTTTGGGCCAGTGGAGTGCAAGGACTCAAATAGGCCGTTGCATAGTGGGTCTTGCAGCAGTGACTACACTGAAAGGGGAGGAAAAATAAAGAGAAGCTGTTTTCCTGTGCTGCAGCTAATCCCTCGCATCCTCTAAGGTTTGCTGTGTCAGACATTGCAAGGGGCTGAGCGGTTTCTTCAGGTTTTTCTCCTGTATTTCCCCCTGCTCTCTGAACTTCTAACAGAACGTAAACCCAGTGTTTGGCAGACAGGTTTTTTTGCAGTGATTCAGACAACCTCTTAATTTCCAGTGGCTCTTGTTATATGGGATCTAAGAGTCACATTTGAAGACTTTGTCTGATTTTTGACTTTTTTGAATGAGTTTTTCTTGTAAAGTTGAACAAATTGTTTCTTTTCATATTTGAGTGATGGGTTGTTTGTTTGTTTGTTTGTTTTTCCCCCAAGAGGACTAGAAGGAAGAAGGGACTTCTACCCTTTCTTCCAGTTGTATGCCTTTTAAAATGTAGGCTATTTATTTGGACTATATGCTTGGAGCAGCTCCTATTGAAGAAGTAATAAAAGAATTTAAAGCTGTGGACCAAGACCGAAGCCAAACATAAATGCACTACTTCTCTAGTATGTGGCCTTTCCCGGGCTCCTTGTGGTACAGAAATGCTGCTTTCCTTTTGTGGAAGATAAATACAGTGCTTTCCAAGAGCCCTGTATGGCCAAGCGGCTCAATGGTTAGAGGCTACACTTTTATTCTGATTCTTTATGTGCTTTTATATGTTTTCTGAATAGTGTGAGGCTGACTTAATCTTTTTTCTTCTCGTATAGGACCGTTAAGAAGTTGAGAGGATAAATGGAAGTGAAGAACACACTACCATTTTTTTTTCTGCAAATTGTTTAAGTGAAAATGGGGTTGTGATGGCATCAGCCAAGGCAAGTCAAATCTCTGCCTGTAGGCATCCACCCAGAACCGGTTAGGTACTAGCACTGTGGTTGATTTCTCCACATTGCTGTTCATGGCATTACTGGGTTGGCTGTTGCGCTCCTAAGGGTGTGGGAGTTAGGAACATCATTACTCAGCTGCATCCTGGTCCTTGATGCTGCCCTAGAACAATTCCCAACCTAAGGATCGGAATCAGGGTATTGACAAGTACTGAGTCAAAGACTCTCTAAACTAGAGGAGACAAGCTTGCTGAAGTCGGTGCTGGGGCAGTGTTCTGCTGGATGTATTCACTACCGTTTGAGATTACCAAGATGGATCTCTACTTGTTTCCTTGTACCTGACCCCAGGGAAAG